AATTTATAGAATGAATAAAATAGATTTTAACATTTTTATTTTGTTAAAGTGCTGAAATATTGCAGAAACCATTCTGTAAATCATTGCTCTAAATACTAGCTTGCAGACATCAAAACATTGGTTCAATATCTAGTGGGAGTCAGAAATTCCCTAAATAACATATGAAAGTATCCTCAAAAAAAATAGGATAAAGTGGAAAATCACACTGTGAGCTATATGGTTCAAGATACATTGGAGCTGTTTGGACAGAATGCTATCTCGGTAAGAGGAGGCATAGATTTGGGATTATAATAGGATATATTGATGGACTGATAAGAGCGTGAAAGAAAGCTTCAGGAGGATAAGGATCACCATGAATTCATTAGGATTTTAAGGAAGAGAGAACTCAAGGGAGAGAGAACAAAGTCAAAGGAGGCATTGGAAATTAATATAGCTCACTGAATAGTCAGTGACTCCCTAGGTAAGAACTTTTCAAGTGTGGCATTGATAAGTTGAACATGAAAGAACAGAAAGTAGGAAGAGATGATAGTTCCTTGGCACTGAATGTAATCCCCTATCTCTACACTGTTTCTTTTATGGAGACAACAAACAAATAAAAAAAATCTCATCTTTTACAATAGCACATTCATCTGGATTGCTTCCTATCATGGTCTAGGTATTTGTATCATCTATCAAATAATCACCTATCAGTCTTGTACCACTAAGAGGACTGCAGGTTAGTCAGTAATTTTCCTATATGTCTACTAGGCATTTGACCATATACTTCACAAATCAAAAACACTAGAGTGTATTTTAAGACACTTATAAACTTTATATTACACAACCATTAACACAGCTTCTTGCATGCAAAATCAATATGGCAGAGGGTGTTGTACTAAATTACTTACACATGAGAAGAAAATAAGTATAACATGAACAGTAACAATTCAAGGTAGTAAATGCTTTGTACCTATAGTATAGGTACAAAGATGAAAATAGACATTTAGATCATTGAAGACTCCCTATAAAGTTAAACAATTAGGCATCCAGAAAGAAAATAGGAAGAGTATGGAAGAAAAAGGGGGTCATGACCTTATGGAGACCATTAAAGATTGAGGTCACTGAGATATATTTGTAGTGGCAATGCTTCTCAGATTTTCCATTATAGTAAGCTAATCTGTTACCAATGGTTCAAGTGTACATTCACTGAAATTAGACTTGGGATTTCAGAAAATATGACTATAGAAGGTTCTCATGATTTGTCTAGTGGCAATAGGAGCATTTCTTCTGAGGTTTCATAATGAAGAGTTAGCAGAAGGGGGATTCCGAACTGCCAGAAGCCACTTTCTTCAAGGACAAACTACCTTCCAGCTACTCAGATATCTGCTGCAGCCAGTCTCATGTAGTGATAGAATTTCCTAGATACAAAACCATCTGTCTAGGTGAAGAGATAGTTCATAGTCTGTAAATCATCTCTTAGCCACATTTATAGTCTACTCATTATTCCTCATAATTGCCCTTTTAGGAAAAGAAAATTCTATCAGTAAGTCATAGTTTACATGGTTTTGTAAGTCATAGTCTATAAAACTTCTGAGAATTTAACTCTGAAAACAAGAACTTGGATAAAATAAATATGTAGTATATTCAACATGTAAAAATGAATAAAATAAATTAATAGTAATTTTCATTCTTTTTATCAATTAAAAACATGCAAAGAAAATTCTGAGTCTGACCGCATTATTTTGTTTTAGAATGAATATTTATTAAATAACTACTAACACCAAATTATAGACATACTGAAAATTTAAATATGAAACTACTACTAATAACGATGAAGATGGTTATAATTTTAAAAACAAAGAGCTGAAGTTTTTAATACCAAATGCTACGGTGAATGTCTGTATCAATTATCCATATTTTTATTTCCAATATCTTTATAAGGAAACAGAAGTTTAGAAAAATTAATCAATGTATTAGAAAATCTTTAAGCTGAGATGTACATACAGGCTTACTTAACTCTTTTTTCTTTTAATTTTTTTGAATTTATTTACATCACTGTTCATTTTTAAACAATAGTTGCTTCCCCCCACCCCCTCAGGTGTAGTCCCCACAGACTTCCCTTCACCAAGGCACCTGTGCACCATTACCTCAGTCCCCTGTGCTCCTCCCTCCCTCTAATCCCTCTCCCTCCTCCTCCCCTGCAGGATGTCTCTGATTTATAATTGTTTTTGCTTTGTTGTGCTTTGTACTGTTATTATTTTTTTACAATGATGACTTATTTTGTTCCCCTATATTCCTGCTATAAGTGAAACCATCCAATATTTTTCTTTCTCCTTCTGGGTTATTTCACTGAGCATAATTCCTTCTAGTTCCATCCACTTTGCTGTGAATGGCATGAGTTTATCTTTTTGGATTGCTGAATAATATTCCATTGTGTTTATATGCCACATCTTTTTTACTTAAATTCTGAGTCAGAGTTACTGAGGTTTTACCATCCAGCCTCTATAAAGACCTGACTAACCCCTTTGAACAAGAGAAACTGAGTTCTGTGTTACTCCTTATATTTCCCTTTGAATTAAAAATCACCCAGACCAAAGCAAAAATCTGATGCCAGGACAAGCCTTAAGAGAGAAAAATCTGTAATTTTCAACAGAGGAAGTCTGTAATTTTTATCTTCTTTTCCCCCAAAGTGTGCTACTTCTCTGGAGACAGTTGTCCACATATCCATCTGGACATGCGAGTTATACTTCAAGGAAGGATGCCAAGTAGAGTGTGTTTCCCTAAGGCCCCTTATACTTCAGTGAATAAAAAGAAAATCTCTTTCAGTTTTGGACAGAGACAGAAAGTGAGGTATGGCGTCGAGAATTTGTTTTCCTTTTTTGTCTCATTTTAAAACTTCAAATATTTTCTCAATAAATATCATACATGCAATAAAAATCATACATGCAATTCAAATTCAAATAAAAATTGACAGAAGACAAAAAAGAGACAGAAAAGTCAAGATAAGAAAGTATATGAACTCCCTCAGGAAGACATCAAGACAGTTCAGAACCTTCTGGTTCTTAGAGAGAAAGGAGAAAGGTCTCTGAGTATGAGAAACTAAGTGAAGTTGAGGCATTAGAAATAGTAAATTCGAGAAGAAAAAGAAAAAAGTATAACATTGCCTGTACTTTTTGTCTTGTTAAAGTAAATTGACAAATTGCTTCTCTACATTAAAATATCTAAATAAAATCAATGTAAACTATGTTAAAATAAATTATAATCACAATAATTATAAGAATCATATGTGCTAGACACTTACTATGTTGTATTGCATTTGATCTAAAAAACAGTCTCAAAGCATAAGCTGTATTGCAATGCTCATTTTGTATTTGGAGAAACTGAATCTTACAAGAGGTTAAGTAATTTGCTACACAGCTACTAAATGGTTAAACTGGAATTGGAAGCCAAGTAATTTGATTCCACAGCCTGAATAATGTCACTCTACATTCAGTAGTTACAAGTAATGTTATTTTTTATTTCTATTATTGCTACTATTAAAAAAAGTAACAATGGCCCAAAATGTTGTTACTCATGTCAGGTGAGTAACACCTAATATCTAACCTAAGTATCAATAGTTTCATTCTCTCTCAAAGTGGAAATTTAAACTATTTAATCTGAAATTTTTATCTGGTCAGCACTTAGTGAGGTGACCTGCATGATAAGACTCTTGCCTTTCTCTGAGGGCAGGTACCCTTTCCTAAAATAATTTTTCTTTTCTTTTGATAATAATCTTTTCCCACCCATTTTGACTATAGAATCCTCCCATTTTTTGTGTAACTCCTTCCAGAGCCTCTCTACTTGCTAGATGGGATGCGGCCTAATTTCTGAGGTATTTAATACAACCAATTAGATCTCTAAATTTATTTGGATCAATTTTTTTTTTGTTACTACTAGGTTCTGATGTAATTCTAGACAATTTTAAGCATTTTCAGCAATATGCAAGCTGAGTTCTTAATAAGGAAAATAACTGATAGTTCTCAGGAATTCAATGGCACATCAATATCAAGGTAGGTGTCCGTTCGATGTTAAGAGCCCTGTGCCTGTACAGCAACAACAGTCTCACAAAAATTAGGAATGAATTCAATTCCCAAGTCAATACCAAGTTGGGGAAACTTAAGGGTCAGGTTTTCTGAACACGAGATTGCTTCCTGCCGACAATTAATCCAAGAAGAAAAAGGGACAGGAGTGATATAAATAGTACCGATAGCTTCAGCAGTGGAGATAAATGTTTCCTCAATGCTGACTACATAACTAATAAACAGTAAACATAGGGCTTACCTGCAACAACACAGATATATGTTAAGGACTTTATGCCAAGTGAAATAAACCAGTCACATTAGGACAAAAACTTCATGATTCCACTTAAAAGAGGCATTCAAAATGATCAAATTCACAGAAACAGAGAGTAGAAAGTTGGATGCCAGGGTCTGAGGGAGGGAGAGTTGCTCTTCAGTAGGTATAAAACTCCAGGCATACAAGATGATTCAAGTTTTACAGATCTGCTGCAACACTGCTCATTCTTAACAATACTCTATTATTCAATTAAAATTTTGTTTAAATAACTGATTCCATGTTATGTGCTCTTACCTTTATAAATATAGCATAACTTTCATCTAATAAAGGTATCCAAAAGAAAGAGAATTATATGCCAATATCATTTATGGGGGGGAGAGAGAGAGAGAATAGGTCTTGAGTAATTGCTAAGCAGACATCCACACACCATACTCTTCGTATCATTATTCCCAGTGGTAACATCAAGTTCTATATGGGATGCAAGAAGCACAAAAAAACTACATATTTTTCCTTATTAATAGTGGTGATGTCCTTGAGTAACTCACACAACTGACAGATATCCTGGTTAACTACACACATAGGACTTCTGTGTGTGTGTGTTTTAATCACTCTGCTGTCATGTGAGGCATAAGAAAAATTATAAAATCCTTAGATTCCTTTATTTCAAAAACAAATAAAATACTTACATTATTAACAGAAGAGCATACTGGTTTCGGTCCGTAAAATCTTTGGGAAAGGACAACTGTAAAGGAAGTTCTTTTAAAGAAAGAGCAAAATATTAAAGATGGAGAGTCATTTACACGTGAAACTACAGATGCAGAGAAAGTTGTTCTCAAATAAGATAGCATGCACAAAACTTTACCATAGTCGTCAATATGAAGCATTTTAATTTCTGACTTTAATATCTTCTTCTTGAGGATAGCTTCCTTCCGCATAGAATTATTTTCCAATACAAAATATTCTATAAATCAAAAAGGGGAGTGTAAATCACTAACTTCTAGGTATTGATCAAGAATCAGCACAACACAATAAATAATTCACAATCTGTTACCATTTGGAGCTAAGCACTGATAAAACTCTCATTTATCTCATGAATTACTGCAACCATTTTCAAGCTTCCTTATTCAAGTGAAATTTTCTCCACTTGCCCCTAGACTTGGAATTAGCATATGCACTTTCATGCAAATCTCATCACATAACTATCCTTCTTAATAATATTTACAAGAATACAAAATTGGGGTCTCCCTGGGGGTGCGACGCGTTGAGCGCAGAGCTGTGAAGCTGTCCACAGCCTCCACAGTGCCGGTTCGATTCCCGGCCAGCCAGGGAGGTTCCTACATGGTGCGGCAGACCTCTCCTGTCTCGCCCGCTGTTCCCCTCAGCAGTGTCTTCAGTCTGTCTTCCTGTTTTGCTCCCTGCTCTGACTTGTGAATCCTCTCATCCTCCCGCACCTCTGACTATACCCCAGTTCTTATATAAATAAATAAATCTTAAAAAAAAAATTTATCTACCACCCAATTAAGATGAAAGTCACAATGTCTGAAGTCTAATACAATATAACAGGCATGCAAGAAATCAGGAAAATGTCTCTCAAGATGAGAAATCTAGTCAATAGAAATAACCCAAAATGACACAGATGATATAATGAATAGTCAATGACATGAAAACAGAGATTATAACTATATTCCATGTTTTCAATAGAACAAAAAATGAGGCAATTAAAGAGAATGATGATAATTGAAGAGAACCAAGTAAAATGGGAAGATCACAAGGGACTGTGGTGATGGTGCATCGGTGAATTGGTGGTGGGAATTCTATGGGGACTACACCGGGACTACACCGGAGAAAAGAAAGCAAACATTGTAAAAAAAAAAAAAAAAAAAAAGAACAATGTTGTAAAAATAAATATAAATAAATCGTTAAAAAGAAACCTGAAAAGTAAGATCAAGGAAAACAACCATATTTAAGATGAAAAGTACTGGGTGGAATTCCGAGCATATTAGATGCTTATGAAGAAAACATCAATGGATTTGAAAACATAAAATAGACAATATTAAAATGAAACAAAAAGAAAACTGATAAAACATAAAGGGTACATCAGTATCTAGGTAAAATTTTGATTGATATTACATTAAATGTATAGATTTAATGAAGAAATTTAAATGCTAAAATAGTTATCTAACCCATAATATGTGTGTGTGTATGTGTGGGTGGGTGTCCATTGGAGTCTTCAATTTCTCCAAGCAATGTTTGTTTTTATTTTTAGGGAACTTGCAATTTTCATTAGACTTTTTTGGTCTCTTTTATGATTTCAGAGTTATTTTAAACATGATTTATAACTACTTTTGAATTTTCTATTGTACCATAGTTTATAAAATAGTTGTTTTTTCCATATTGACTGTACCTCTAACCATGATAAAGTCCCTCACTTCTAATAGATTTGTGGGTGTGTGTAGATTTCATAGAGTATTGTTGATTTGTTCCTTGTTTTATTTACAAGTATGACTTTTGCAAATAAGCACAATTTCCTACTTAGATTCCCTTTTTTTTGTTCCATTTCACAAGCTAAATCCTCTAATACAAAGTTGTAGAGAAGATGTGAGCTCTGACATTCTTTACTTTTCCCCAGTCTTGTCATTCAACAGTAAGTTTGTTAGTTGAAGTTGTTGAAGTATTTTTGTAAATTCCAAATCAATTTGGTTAATACTGGCCTTATATTTTTCTAGGGAAGTTTATGGAAGGCTGGTATTCATCTATTAAATGTGGCATACAATGCACCAGTGGAGCTAACTGGAATGGGACTTCTCTAAACAGGAAGAATGTTGTGAATTAAACTTGTTAGTAGATAATGGGATATTTATATATTATCTTTCTTTTTGTTTGGATGTTAGGCATGTTATGCCTTTACTCTCTAGCTTATATGCTAAATTTACTGCATAAAACTACTTTTAATAGTTTAATAGTTTTTAATAGTCCATTGCTATCATTCTAATATCTGTAGTATTTCTATTCACAATAATCTATTTCATTAATGACAACGGTAATCATGATATACTCTTTTATGATTAAAATTTTATCAAATTTTTTGATCTTTTTCAAAGAGGTATCTTTAGTTTCAAATATTTTCTTCTGCTCATGTTTTCTATAGTTAATTTCCACTCTATTCATTCTCCCTTCAACTTGCTCTGTACTTTTTTTGTGCTCTATTTTTTCTAATTTCTTAAGTTGTAAATTTGATTTTAAAGTTTTCCATTTAAGATTTTACTCTAAAAAATAAGATTTTACTCTACTCTCATGTTTATTTTTTCTGATACTGAGTCTGAAGCCATTCTAGGCTTTGTTACTATGTATGCAATGAGTGGATGTAATATGTCTTTATTTTTGAAAGTTGCTTTTTATTTTTTCTATTTATACTTAGCTAGGTATCCTCAGCAACAGACTCAAGCTGAACTTCATGTATCTTCATCCTCTTCAGTTGCTTTCCACTCTGCCAACATCTGAAAGTTTCAATCTTTCTAAACTGCAGTTTCTGTCTCCACTGATTCCAAGATACCGTTATATTCTTGTTGGGTTGTTTTTCATTGTACCACTATTCAGAAAATGATTCCAAATAGAAAGCCAGGACGATTACATTAATCTCACTTATTTTCTTTCTTTCAGGGATCAGAGACTTAGCTGATTATTATCTCTTGCTTGAAAATTGCTATTTTATCCAGTTTTTTTTTCTTTTTCTTTCCTTTTTTTTTTTCTATCTTCTTGGCAAGAGGCCATGTCTACTTCAAGGTACTCCATAGTCAAAATAAGAATCTTTTAAATTGTGAGTGGTTTATCATTGGTACTTTACAGTAAAACCCAAACACAGAATGAAACAAAACTTAGGACTTGACTCCTGTCTGTCTGTGTAGACTATACCTCTTTGCTTCATTTTGTTTCAGTCACATTGAACAATTTCCATCTTGGAAGTATCAACATTTTCCTGCCTTCTTTTGTTTGTAAAATAACATTCCTTTTTGAAAGCCTTTTGCACTGACTTCTTTCTTTGAAGTGTATACATTTCTATCATAGAAATTATTATATTCCATTGCAACCATTTAATTTCCTATTTCCTACATTACACTATGAATCTTATGTGCGGTTTCAGGCACAAATAGCTACCTGTTTTATAAATAAATGTATTCTTCTCTAATATAAATGAGGGAAGTTTGATATTTTTTTATTCCAAGAAAGAATTTAAATTTCTTCTACTCCCAAAATACAAGAAATTTTTAATTATTTAAATAATAATATAGTTTCCAAGAAACTGTACTGAAACTATAAAATTTTAAATATGAAAATTTAAGTCTATAGTTATCATCAAGGATTCAGCATTAAAATCTAAGAACTGTCGTGAAAATGCACTTGTGGATAAAAGTATTTTTCTTTTATTTATAAGAAGTCAGTAACACTGATATTGTTAACTACAAAGGGGGCAACTTTATAAATAAAAAAACAGATGACTGGAGCAAGAATAATTGGTATATATACACAATGGAATATTACTCAGAAATCAAAAAGATAAACTCATGTCATTTGCAGCATCATGGATGGAGCTGGAAGGGATTATGCTCAGTGAAATAAGCCAGAAAGAAAAAGAAAAATATTGGATGGTCTCACTTATAGGAGGAATGTAGAGGATCCAAATAAGGGATCTGGAAAAAAAAAAAGGTAACTATAAAAAGGAAAAAATCAAAATCAATAGGCAACTATAAATAAGAGACACTCGGAGAGAAGGGAGTAGGATCAAAACAAAGGTGGGAAGAGCACAATGGACCCTGATGATAGTTCACAGGTGAATGGGTGGTGGGAATTTCATGGGGGCTATAATTGAGATGAAAATGCATACATTGTACAAAAATGAAAAATGATGTAAAAATAATAATCAAAAACAGGAAATCAAGTATAAAATATATGATAGTGTTACTTTTATAATTTTATTTATTTATATTTTCATAAAGATTTATTTATTTTTTAAAATTTATTTATTTATACAAGAACTGGGGTACAGGCCAGAGGCATGGGAGGGTGAGAGAATTCACCAGAGACAGAGCAGGGAGCAAAAAAGGCAGATGATGGAAAACACTGCTGCAGGTGAGACAGGAGAGGTCTGCCACACCATGTGGGTCTCTCCCTGGCCACCCGGGAATCGAACCGGTGCTGCAGAGGCTGTGGACAGCTTCACAGTGCTGCGCTCAACCCGCTGTGCCACTGGTGGGGAGGCCCCAGATTTATTTTTTAAAATTTTTTATGAATACAAGAGCTGGGGGGTAGGCCAGAAGTACAGGGGCTGGTGTGTGTGTGAGAGGATTCAGTAGAGACTGACTGGGGAACAGAACAAGCAGATCTACTGAAATACACTGCTAAGGGAAGCAGCAGGAGGGACAGGAGAGGTCTGCTGCACCATAATTGAGTAAGTTCCTTGGCCGGGATCAAACTCAGGCTGTCGAGGTGATAGCACTGAGACCTAATCCCTATGCCACCAGAGAGGCCCTTTTTTATAATTTTAGATACAGGTTATGCTGTTGGATAAAATTTTTTATAAATGAACAATAGTTTAGTGAGTTTAAATGATTAAGGGACTAAATGAATGAACAGATAGATACACCTAGAGGCATCAACATGAGTATAAAATACTAATAATTTTTCAGGTTTTTTTTCATTATCATATACTATTGAGAAAAAATAAACCTAATTTTAATATGCAAACCAATTATATAAGGGACATTTGACTTTTTTTATTTGAAATTCATTCATTTAGTCATGGTCACAGAGAGACATTCTATTTAAAAAAAATTAAAAAATGAAAAGCAATAAAGCATTTCTTAATATATCAGAAACAGACAGTGATTTTTCATAAAAGGTCAGAAAAATATTTAGTAAACAGTTTTTGATAAAACATTGAGAAAAGAAGGGAGTGCTAAGTCATTATTTTATGTGGAATTGAGGAGAAATGAAAACAGAAAATTAGAAATAATAAATAAAAGGACAAGGAAGAACTGTAAGTGAAGTATAAAGAAGAATTAGAGGGGCCTAGGGGTTAAGTCTCAGCACTATCATGCTCTTGCCTCTGTGGCCCGAGTTCGATGCCCAGCCGGGGAGCTAACCTACACATGGCGCAGCAGACCTCTCCTGTCTCACCTGCTGCTCCCTTCAGCAGTGTGTTTCAGCCAATCTGTCTGTTCTGCTCCCCACTCTGTCTCTGGTGAATCCTCTCATACCCTCGCACCTCTGGCCTACATCCCAGCTTTTCCACAAATAAATAAATAAACTTAAAAAGGAATTAGAAAAAAGACATTGGAATGGAGATACACAAAGAAAAGACACTAAAAAAGTAAAGCACAAAAGTGGAAAAGTCACATATACAAAATTAAGGTTTAAGAAGAAGATGAAAATATTAAAAAGAGGAAAGGTAATGATAATAGTATGAGACAAAGGGCTTTTGAAATATTAGCTAAGTATAATTTTACTTATTTATACCTTGTCTTAAGTCACTGAACATTTTAATGAAGGGTTTCAATTTTATTATAAAAGTAATATATGCTCACTGTGGAACATTATGAAAATTCTAAAAAAGAAGTAAAAAAAGAAAAAAACTACTTGGAAAGCTGTCAGACTAAATGTAAGAATTTTAACTTTGCATGTATTTTCTTCTTGAACTTTAATATGCACTTTCTAGTAGTTTTGTGGCACAGTTAAATGGCATGGAGAGTTGAATTCTTTATTTAGAAATAAAGCTTAAGTATTTTTTAAGAATTGAATTTTGTAAACATTCTTTTTGATCATCTGAGTGGAAAAATGGTGGCTTATTTTATTAGAATGATTTCATGAAATTTAATAAAGGACTAGGTACATCTATATGGACAAAGAGCAGGGGAATCTTAAGGGATAGTACTGAGATTGCTGAAGGTTTATGACAAAGGTTAGGTCTGCAGGGCAAGGGGAGGTTGCAGACTCGGGAACTCCAGAGAGAAGGTGTGTGAAAAGTAACCAAGAGTCATACCAGTGGGGTAAGTCCACAAGCTAAGGCTGGAGGGACAGATATTACCCAGTTACTTTTCTTCTTCTATTCAGCCACCTACAATATTGCCTTTAGCTGAATCCAAACGATAGTTAAATGGCAACAGACTCTAAATTACCTAATTATTACCTCTGGGGCAGAGACCAAAGGAGAGAAAAACTGAAAGTTAGGAATTCTGTGGAAGTACAGAATTAAATGGAAGATATTCAGGGCAGATTAATATTCTACTAAAGTTTATTTACAAATTCCCTTCTCTGGTTATTTATATTTTTTTACTGTCAATCATTAGCAGAGTTACAAATTTCTCTTTTTAGAATTACTTCCTCAGTATAAACTATTAAAAGCAAAAACATGGGATAAATAGACATAGGATATTTAAGATTTAAGACATAGGATATTTAAGATTTATGATTAACCTAATTTTTTCTAAAAGATTTGCTATAATTCATATATTTATATATATGAGAGCCTCAATATATCCTCATTAGCAATGTAAACTTTTTGATGTTAATAAATTTATTAAGAAAAATTACATGGCAGAATTTTACTCTACATTCCTTTGATAACTACTGTATCTAAAGGTTTTCTATGTGTATTAAATATTTCAGTTTTTTCTCTTCTTGTCCTATTTTACAATAGGACAACAGTCTTGTGGCCCCAAAATGACTTTTTACAACAGTCTTGTGGCCCCAAAATGACTTATGAGTGATTCATTAGTGTATCAAAGGTTAATTCAAAGATTTATTAGCACAAAGATTTACTTGCAATTGAATGTAAATTTTATCTCCATAAATCATGTATTTTGAGGAGAAAATTAAGCACTTGACCACTATTCATAGTCCCTTTTTATTTTTCTGGTCTCTGAGATGATCAGAATTGAATTAGGAGTGGGAAAAGCCTCAGATTTCGCTTAGATAAAAGTGTTTTAGATTTTTGCAGTGGAAATTATTAGAAAACAACAATGCCTTGTAATAGCACAATGAAATTAAATTAAAATAAAATTGGGAGTCTTAATTATTATTTTGGTAGAACATGAAGTGTAATACATATATTGAATATATTTTATGCCAAGAAATATCTCAATCTCTCATAACTTTCATTTGTTTATTTATCTAACAAGGCACTAATCCTATGCAATATTTATTAACATCTCAGATCCCACATAAGTATATGATGAGCTCATTTTATACACTGGCTTTTATGTCTATAAAATTCAACCTTTTTTTCTATTTAATCTATTTTTTTCTTTTATCTATTTTTCTAAAGACAAATGAATATTGTCCTTATTATTGTTGTTGCTATTATTAATATTAAAGAGATAAAAACACAATAGATTAAGAAGATATAGTTACAAGCTCTAATTTAGAGTCAGATTGTCTTATTTAATTCCTGGCTCTGCCATCTAATTAAGTATCTCTAGACAAGATATTTACCCTCTCTGTGACTCATTTTCCTCATCTGTGAATGTGGATAATAAAATCAATTATTTTAGTGGGTTTTCTGGAGAATAAGTGAGTGAATGAATATAAGCCTCATTACTAGATAACAGTAAACTACATTAAATCACTAAAGCATAAAATCATTGATCAAATACATTTCTTAATGAAAAATTTAAAAAGAAGGTAAAAATGATGGAAGGAAAGAAATAGAAGACAAGAAACTATCTTGCTACTCATTTTTAAGTCTCACTGAACCATGCATTCACCTATGCACTACCCCATAAATTCTTAAACATATCGACCATATCTTACTACCAAAGTATTCCCAATCTTTGTTATATTGCTTGATAAACTAAGAGTTTAATAATAAATTATATTATGTACAGTTGAATAAATATATTCAATAATTACAAATTAAAACTAGATTACCTGGAATTTCTGAAACAAAGAAAACAGCAAATATGCAAAATAATATATCTTTTTGTAATTTCCTGATTTCACAAAATATGCTGTTTCAGAGAAATAACCTACATGAGGCCTGGGAAAGAATGAACCAGAACACTAGGGAATCAGTATGTTGAAGTGTACCGAACAGCCCTATAAATTACTCCTCATTCAGACATCCAATTGTATATAAGATACAATTCCAGCTGTAAAACAACTCAAACCACTTCCTACATAAGCAAGGTCATGTTGATGGTGCCTATTCAGCTTTCCCTGTGCTGAGGACAACTTTGAAGATTCTATAGAATACAACAGTCAATACATAATATAATAATGCCGAAGATCGATACCAACCATGATTATTCTGCATTGTCTTGCACATGTACTCACTTGTTGGGTTGTCTGTGCTATGTAGACTGACCACTGGGACCCCTGGACCTGGATTAAAAATAAAATTTGTGTGTATAAATATAAATTTTAAAGTCATTTAAGTAACAGTTATTGAAAAGTTTACAGGACAGAGCTCCTTTTTCAAAATGGTACCATGTCACATTTAAAGCATAATGAAACAGAAACCAGATAAATAATTAAATTGCATTCCTTTCCATGAGTATTTGATTTAGAAAAGTAAAAAGACATGAAGAAATGATTTGCAGAGCTTATTGTTAATATTTCCATGTTTCTAAATTGCTCTATATTTCTATACTTCTATGGCTTTATCTAAATCTTAGGCATCTTAATCTTCAGTCATTTATAATAGTCACTTATGTTCAGATTCACATGGCCCTGTGATCTTTTATCTGCTTATCCTAGAACAAATTCAATTTACCACTCAATCAAGAAAGAAACAAATACAAGCATATTAGAAATATTTCATTAATAAACTACATAAAAATTGGGCTAATTACATATTCATTTAAAAATGTTTCAACTGAGATCTCCAATTATTTCAAATATACTGGTCAGTTTGATGTGACCATAAAATGTTATCTTGAAATTTACCATCTCTAAGAAACTCTTTCTCAATGTCTAAGGGATTTCTCTGGTGTCATCAAAAAAGTATTTCTCATTTTTTTATTTCCTCATTTCACATATCAGTGGAAAAACAACTAAAAGAACAAGGTGTGATCTATTCTATGGTGTTTTAAAACAGGACAACTTTAGGTACCAGCCGAAACATTAGTAGTTAATTTACCACATTTTAAAAAGGTACATAAATCCTCATTCACCACTAGGAAGTACAGTATACTCTTAAAGGGGATAATATTCTTATCAATATAATCTAGAGATACCATACAACCCATAGGCTATGGCATACTGTTATCAGATAGATAAAGTAATTGGGCTGAACATAATTTCTCAAAATTAATATGGGGCTAGACCCAAGAAATTAAATTTCTGTATATCCTAAGTCTCTTAACAAGGCATTATATCAATAAAAACACTATTGCTTTTTTTTAAAATACTAGTTAGATTAATTTTTGTAGCATTACTTTGCTGGTATAAATATGTTTATTCACTTTATTGGATGAGCCTAATAAAGCCCAAGTACAACAGTCTTTATTGATCATGTTTATGTCTTGAATTAACTCCCAATTTCTATTTCTAAGTGAAACATACAAATACAATTTGCATCTCTATATAAATTTATAATTTAAAATTTTTAACAAAACCATTAATTATGAACATCAAGTGATATAACCAGAGAGTAATACTTACTAATGAAAGTGCTCAAATAAAATGACTAAGATCAATCATCAGAAATTGTTTTATTCAATACATAAATTAATATAATCATATCAATGAATATTACTATATTTAAATTAATATAATTATATAATTTTATTTAATATTATCTTACCTTTACAGAATAGTAAGAAATGTTGATTCATGGGACTAAAACTGGCACCAAAATAAGTACATTGTTCTTTCATAAAATTACATGAAATGCATTGACGATTCAATAATCCTTCAGTAGAAGCACTGAGAAAGGAAATAAAGTTAGAAATGCTACCAATCTAGACATTGGAATGTGTGGCATTTTAATTATACCATAAATGGAGGAGATACAGAACTACTTACATTAAGATTCCTAGTAAATTATGAATTACCAAACAAATGCTATTAATTTCTATTTACAGTGTTGAAACATAAATTTTCTTCTCTGTAGTAAAATTAAATTTATGTACATTTCTGCATATTATATAAATATAATAAGCATGCATTTTTCTGATTATAAAGACACTAATGTTTATGAGGCTTAATATAACATTCTTATTTCTTTATATTTATAGATTTTTTTTTTAAGTCTTAGAAGGAATTGCCTACCGAGACTAGTATATAGTCACCATCAATAAATATTAGGTTAATGAATAAATGTGTATTTTCACAAGTAAATTTCCTAATTGCAACATTCTAAACATTACAATTTGTTATTATTGTCAATTTTTCCCACTAAATATATGCACTGAATATTGTGATATGAAAAGTTACTCTTACGTGATAACTTATATGATGTTAGTAATCATATATTGAAATATTATGGAGGTAGATAAAGAAAGGAGAAATCATCACTCTGTTTTACAAACAATTATGTTTAAGGTAATAGGGATAAGATATTTACCCAAAGTTAAATATCATATATAGATTAATATATTTTATAAATAAGGAAGAATCCTAGATTATGCTGATAAATGAAAGCACTGTTGATATATTAAAAAATTGATTAGAAAAAATATTCTAAATTTCTCTTTGGAGTGAACATGATCTGAGCTGTAAATTTATAAATTTATAAATGCATCATAGTTATGTTGATTTTGATGTACAATATGCTGCAGGAATGGGGATAGGAACAAGGGGATTGAATCAAGCATTAGAAGCACTAGAAGCAATCTAGAATAAATGTTAAGTATAGTTCACAAAGTCATGACGACACATTTGACATTTAGGGCTGATTACAATTCCAAATATTCCTCTTCTAGGCAAGATAATTAATATACACTAGACACTTGAATATATTAGTTGGTTTTACCATATGGTATCATACAAGTTCATCTTACCTAGTTTTTTCTTTTTTAAAATATATACATATATAAAACACTTGTTATTGTATATATCTGCATATGTATATATTATGCATAATTTCTGTACATAATTTCTGTACATATAATGTTTATATACATATGCATATACACAACATTTGCCATTATAACCATTTTTAAGTCTACAGTTTGATGTCATTATATTCACAATGTGCAACTACCACCACAGAGACTGAGTGCCAATTACATAAGGTTATTTAATCATATAACTAGAAATTAAAACTTTTTCTCTTTGCATCTATTTATTTATTTATTTATTTTAAAAAAAGAGATTTATTTATTTATTTATACAAGCACTGGGTACAGTCAGAAGCTTGGGAGGGTGAGAGAATTCACCAGAGCCAGAGCAGAGAGCAGAGCAGGCAGAAGGACCGAGGTTCACTGCTGGGGGGAGCAGCGGGACAGGGTAGGTCTGTGCGCCATGCGGGACCCTCCTCCGGTGGCCGGGGAGTAGCCGGGATCGAACCGGCACCGCAGAGGCTGCGGGCAGCTTCGCAACCCAGCGCTAAACCGCTGCGCCACCGGGGAAAAGTTTTATTAATAAATGCAGAGGGGCCTCCCCGGTGGCCCCTCTCACCCTCCCAAGCTTCTGACTGTACCCAGTGCTTGTATAAATAAATAAATAAATCTTTAAAAAACTTAAAAAAATAAAACTTTTCATATATAAATTCTCTAGAGATATATCTTGGCATTTTCTCATTATTTAGGTTATGAAATTCCTGAAATAAAGAATTTCAAATTTTATAGATGAAATTATAACACTGAATATGTTAGCAGCTCAAATTCTGCAGGAGTTTCTAATCCCAGACATTAAGGCAACCAATGATTATGTTTATGGCCTGAATTGATTGAGCTGCTCATTGATTGAGTTTTCTGGGTTAAATACTAACATTATCTTACAGTCAACCCAACTGGCATTTGATGAGCTATTTAAGGGGAAATTTATTGGTACTACATCTTCTTTATAACATAGCCTGCTACACTAGTACAGATGATAGATATATTGACTGCTGTGCTTCAGTCACTATAGACATAGGAGAAGCACACAAATCTAAAAGTCATTGTGATTCAAGTCACACTTTAGGCTGATAAAGGCAACAAAGATTGAGGCAATTTCACTGGCTGAACCTGACCAAGTCTAATTTTCTGATATTGTCATTTTTCTTAAAGACTTTTATAAAATGAGAGAAATAAAACATTGATGAATTATTTCCACATCTTGAAAATACTGTTAATAACTGAAAATATCAATGATAGTGCTTATTTTCAGGAAAGATAAGTTTCAGGTCAGCCAACAGAAAAAAGTGACTAGTGTATTAATTAAGACTTCCATATTAAATTTTGAATGAGTCTCTTTATATAAAGATCTGTTCTTCCTTTGGTATTCATTAAAATTGAGGATAAGGATTTGTTTCGGGGAAAAAAAAGAATAATAAAATGATATATAGGGAGAAGTGATAAAAAAGAAGCTTGCTTCAAAGAAAGTGATTTATGCATAAATAAGGGTATATGAGTGGATTGGAGAGAGGTAGGGTACTTTGAACATGCATTTTTACTCTCAAAGGAAAATCTAGGCTACTTGGTAAGAATCAGTGGTGACACTTCTTCAAACATGATGAATTTCCACTGAGAATATACCATGGCAGTTTTGACACTTTAAAAATGGATCTGTGAAATGGAAATTAGAAGGTATATATATATATATATATATATATATATATATATATATATATATAAAGTCTGGAATTAATAAGTTGCTGGCCAGGCAAAAATACAAGCCATTTTTGGGAGTTTCTGGTGAAAGCTTTTTGAGTGAAGAGACATTTTAATACTAAATTGGTGTGACCTTAAACCCTTTTCATGGGCTTTCATGAATACAACGTTACATCTGGGAAAACTGGGCAGATGAAAATATTCCCCATCCATTGCTTTATTTTAGGAAACAACAAGAATTTCTACTTTAAATCACCATCTTAATGGATTATGCAAACTATGAGGGGAAAAAGAGAAACTTGCCCTTGATCCATATACTGTGTTCACAACATTTTGTTCTGTTCAAGAATAAATGACATGTGCAAAACATAAATGCACTGAAAATTCAAAATGAGGCTTAGAGGAAGAAAAGGTCACTGGGGATAATGTTAATGGCCTGTGAGGTGGGCAGCTGAGAGAAGCAAACGTTAAAAAAAAAGATTTGAGACAGCAAAAAAAGATGAAGAATAAAAAAAAAAATAAGCAAGGATCAGAAGGATTGTCATAACTCTCATTTTAGTTCTACAGCTAAGGGACTGGATCAAGAGTGTGGGTTTCGTCATATACTGTTGACCCTTGTCATACTTAGTTGATGTTCTCCTAAACTATGTTGAAGTGAAACCAGATTTTTCCATCCCATCCTTCATTATGTTGTGCAGATGACCTTAGAAAAATCAACCCGTGTAGAAACATCCTGTACATTACTTACCTGTAGAGTTGCCTCCCTCTGGGAGAAGACTCAGTGCTCAGAAAGTAACTGCCCAGGAAAGAAAACACAAACATCAGATAGATTTTTGCCAGGATGGAGTTTTACTTTTCATACTGTCAAAGAACAGGCAAAAGTTGTTCTATTATTCAACCATAGGATATTCATTAGGGAAAAAAAAATTCTCTTATCATCACACTTTTCCACAATGTTTGCTGTCTGTGTGTGTGTACATGAGTGCATTAGACTGTGCACAAGTGTCTGCTTATGAATCACTTCAGTGAAATAAAGGGAGAAGCTTTAAATTAAAGGTTAGTCTTTAGATGGTCAGGCTGTTTTGACTAGGACCATGGTAAGTCAACAGAATTCTGCCAGAAAAGATTTCATCTGGCAATGTGAACTTCCAGGTTGTCCAGAGAACCAAACACACTCACATTTTCTGAGTAGTTTCATCGAATGCCAAGATCTTTATCACTTCCCAGTTTCCTGATGTCAGATGCCTCACGGTAATTTGCTCACTTTTACTCTGCAAAGAAATAGAAAATATTGATTTTCCTTTTATTTAAACAGAATTTCTGTGGTCAACGCAAAAGCACTAACTGCCTTTGTCACTTTTAATCCTGTAGTTCTCAGCTCACATCCAGTTTTCTTGTTTTCAATTTCTACAATGCACACACATTCATTTAAATGTTAGATACGATAGTGCCCTTATTCCTATATTGTAGAAAAACCATCCAAAAAACTCTTGTAGGTTAGGATTGGTCAACATCTCGACAGAGGATGTCAAAGTGTCCTATGGGATCTGGCACAAGAGAGCATTTTGATAATTCTCATCTAAATGATCAGTAGCTATGCAGTTTGGCTAGTTTAAACAAAAAATTCAGAATAAACTTTATTCCCAGTAAATTCTCTGTGTTATATACTGTTCATCCCTGCTCATTACTGAAGATGTGTTATTTTCAATCAATAACATGTCTGAGATTAATCCATGGTGATAATTGCATCCATAGCCTAATTTCATTGTCTTATGTCATTGTATGACTATGGATTAATTTATCTGTTTTTGTTTTGATATTTGAATTTCTTACAAATTTTTACTCTTAGAAAAAAATGCCTATGAACAGGCCATTAATGTCTTCTGATACACATGGCAGGGTTTTCTGAGACAAACACCAAGAAGTGGGATTGATTGGTCTTGGTCAGAAGATAACCATGTCTCCTACTTACTACAGAGTGACACACTATTTTACAAAGTTGTTACAAAGTTCTACTAGCAATATGAGTTTCCATTGTCCACAGATGATTGATTGCTAATATGCCACAGAGGGAGTAAACAGTGCTGCAGTGAACATAGGACTGAATAGCAACCTTCCCACGAGTTTTTGTATTCCCAGTAGATACCTATTAGTGAAATTGTCATAAGGTATAGATCTATTTTTAATATTTTGAGAAACTTTCACTGTTTTCCACGGGGGCTGCATCAACCTGCATTTTATTTCATTTTATTTTATTGTTTTTTTAAAGATTTATTTATTTATATAAGAACTGAGGTAGAGGCCAGAGGCGTGGGAGGGTGAGAGAATTTACCACAGACAAAGGGGGAGCAGAACAGGCAGACGGACCAAAGACACTGCTGAGGGGAGCAGTGGGTGAGGCAGGAAAGGTCTCCTGCACCATGTGGGTATCTCCCCGGTCGGCCGGGAATCGAACCCGCGCTGCAGAGGCTGCGGACAGCTTTATAGTGCTGTGCTCAACCTGCTACAATACTGAGAAGGTCCTGCATTCTATTTTAAACTAAGACATTAACTTCATACCTGCTTTTTTTTGTATAACATTGAGCATTTTAGAACTCTCCCTCCAGTGGTTTTGTAGAGTATCCAGCAGTTTGGAAATATCTGATTGTTTACTTGTGGTTTAATTTAGGCTAAACAATTTTGGCAAGAATATTCTATAGGTAAGGTTTTAACCCTTTTCTGTTTCAGGAAATAGATTATCACATGTCTTCCCACACTAGCAATGCTGTTTTCATGGAAAGTGTAAGATATAGTTGCTATAATAGTACTGTTTTCCCTAGTAATTAAGAATGGGATGATATTGACACATTTTGAATAGTTTTTTTCCCTTGAACTTTTTACTCCATAGTTGTGGCAACTATTCATGACCTTTCCTGGAATAAATTATCATTTCAAAGTGATTTTCAAATTTTAACATCCCTTTCGTGTTTACAAGGTAACATATTCCTGTAAACACAGTCTTGCCCTATACATGTGTTCACTCTGATATACATGGCCGGGTTTTCTGAGACAAACACCAAGATGTGGAATTGCTTGGTCAGAGGATAACCATGTCTTCTACTTATTACAAAGTGACACACTATTTTACAAAGAAATAGCACACACACCCCACATGTGTTCACTCTCTTTTACCCTTCTCCTTTATTAGAGCCACACGTATTTTGAATGTAATTTATATATAATTACTGTTGTTATTCTTTATAATGACAAAATTGCCAAAATTGGTTAATGCAAATACCTTCAAGATAAACTTTTTTTCTTTGGACATAATTACATTAGTCTTTGTGCATTTATTTGTTTTCTGCACAAGATGTTCAAGATAATTTTATTTCTGTCTCTTGTCAGTCATAACTCCTTTATCTAGTGAGCCCTGTTTTCTTACTGATTTATAGTAAGGATGGCAAGACCTGGTTTAAATGTGCTTACTGCTACTCTAGTGCTAATTAATTATGGGCCTCTTCAGAGGAGAGAGAGCTAGATAAATAGATAGATTTCCTTATGTTCTCTATATCTCTATGTGTGTTCTCAGTAATAGTTTCAATTAAATATCATCAGTTTGGTTTATAACTAGGTGCATTTGTTTCTCTTACTAATGGTATTTGATGTCCTTGTTCTTTTTATTAAATTTTCTTTAAAAAATATACAAATGGCATACTACACAGTGGCCAAAAAAGATAAACTCATGCCATTTGTAGCAACATGGATGGACATGGAAGGGATTATGCTACATGAAATAAGGCAAAATGAGAAAGAGAAATATACTATGGTATCACTTATTTGTGTAGTACAGAGAAACTAAACAAAGGGTCAAATACAAACTTAAAACCAATCCTTGAAAGTAGTGAGTACCCTTTCTTGTGCTTCACATTTATGGGAATGTTGCTCCATTTGAATTTGTGTGAAGAACATGTTTTTCACATTTGTAAAGCCAGAAATTGGTATTACATTTTGAAAAAGCTTTTAAAATAACTATAAAGACAATTCATTTCATAGAACAATATAAATTGTGTTAGCATTACCTTTGAAAATCTGATGAGATTCTCCTGTGGAATCATGTACTTTTTTGTAGTGCAGTTCTTTGATAATATTCTATTTCTTCTAGGTCATTAGCTTGTTTAAGTTCTCTGTCTCTCCTGTGGACTGTTTTGGCTAAGTGTATTTCCTCTTGAAATTGCCCATTTCATCTAAATTTTTCAATTAAATATGCAGAGTTCTGCAAAATGCTCTCTTAAGATATATTAAAATGTCCTTTGTTTATTTCCCACTAGGCATTTCCAATTGTATAAGCAAATTTCTCCCTTTACTCTTGATTGGGTCAGCTTGTGCTTTGTTTCAGTTGTAGTGGGTGTACATGGATGTAATATGTGTGTGTGTGGGGGGGTGTGCTTTGAAAGAATAAGCATTATTTCTTTCATTTATTAGTTCTATATTTTTCTGTTCATACCCTATTTCACTTCTGCTTCAAATTTAGATATTTCCAACTTTTTAATTTTTGTTGGGTTTTATCTATTATTTTCTAGCTATTTGAGTTGCAAAATCAACTCATAATTTCAGCATGTTTTTTATATAATAGAAAATATGTATATAACTTTTGATGTACCTACTACTACTCACATTCTGTAGACTGGTAGTCTTACTGACAACATAAACTATCAATGAACATATATTCTGTATGTTAATTCATTGTATCCTTACAATAAATTAGGCTCAAGAAAAGACAATGCTAAGAACATGCAATGGAACCCAGACAGTTTGTTCAATAAATGGTGCTGGGAAAACTGGACCACCACATGCAAAAAATGAAACTAAACCACTACCTCTCACCATGCACAAAAATCAACTCAAAATGGATAAAAGAACTGGACATAAGACCTGAAATCATAAAATATATAGAAGAAAATATAGGTAAAACACTACAAGACATACATCGCAATAACATCTTTAAAGACTCATCACCCAAAGCAAAGGAAGTCAAGGAAAAGATAAACACCTGGGATTACATCAAACTGAAAAGCTTCTGTACAGCAAAAGAGACATTAACCAAAACAGAGAGACACCCCACTGATTGGGAAAAAATCTTTGCACTCCATTCAACGGATAAGGGACTGATCACAAAGATATACAAACAACTCACAGGATTCAACAAAAACAAAATAAACAATCCAGTCAAGAAATGAGCAGAAGAACTTAAAAGACATTTCTCCAAAGAGGAAATGCAAATGGCCAACAGGCATATGAAAAAGTGTTCAACATCCCTTATCATCAGGGAAATGCAAATCAAAACCACACTGAGATACCACCTTACACCAGTAAGAATGGCACATATTAAAAAAAACAAGCAAAAACAAATGTTGGCAAGGGTGTGGGGAAAAAGGAACTCTCCTACATTGCTGGTGGGAGTGCAAACTGGTCCAGCCAGTATGGAAAGCTGTCTGGAGGTTCCTGGGTCTACTAAAAATGGAACTACCATGTGACCGGCAATTCCACTACTAGGGATCTAGCCAAAGGACACAGAAACATTGATTCAAAAAAACACCTGTACCCCTATGTTTATTGCAGCACTATTTACAATAGACAAAACCTGGAAGCAAGCCAGATACCCAAAATAGATGACTGGATCAAGAAGATGTGGGACATGTGCACAATGGGATATTACTCAGCAATCAAAAAAGATAAACTCATGCCATTCGCAGCAACATGGATTGAACTAGAAGGAATATGCTTAGTGAAATAACCCAGAAGGAGAAAGAAAAATATTGGATGGTTTCAATTATAGCAGGAATATAGGGGAACCAAATAAGTCATCAGTGTAAAAAAAATAACAATACAAAACACAACAACGCAAAAACAGACAATTATAAACCAGAGCCATCCTGCAGGGGAGGAGGAGGGAGAGGGATCAGGGGGAGGGAGGGAGGCGCACAGGGGACTGTGGTGGTGGTGCACGGGTGCACTGGTGAAGGAAATTCTATGGGGACTACACCTGAGGGAGTGGGGGGAAGCAAATATAGTTTAAAAATGAACAATGATGTAAAAAAAATAAATAAATAAGAAATAAAAGATTTTATGAAAGATAAAATACATTTACAGCACCATACTATATTATCAGTGTACATCATCTGTTTATAAGAAAGTCTGCATAGACGTTGATGGTGCGGTTCAAACACATGTTGTTCAAAGGTCAACTGTATATAATCTCTTATTTGGCTATATGCAAACATGATACTACATA